GGGAACCGAACTCACGACCTTACACTTGCCAGGCAGGCGCTTTGCCGTTGAGCTAAATCCCCAGCCCCATAGCTGATTATTTTGATCTGAAGAAGTCAAGCAGAGAGCTGAGGAAATGGTTAAGACAGTCAAAAAAAAATTCTGAGGTTATATGAGGAACACTAGGTTCACCTGATTTTTCTGTTCAGATGGTACATCCAATAAGCCAAGGGATTGCCACATAATTATTTTTAAACTGTGTTTAATTGGTTTGAAATAATTTTAAAAGATCCTGGTTGGCTCCTTCAAATGAATGTAATTAGTCAGTTGTTCTTTTACAGTAGCTCCATTTCAACAATTTAGTCTATTTTTCATGCTAGAGCCACCATTTTTTTTTTTGTCTTTTTGAAACAGGGTCTCACTATGCAGTTCAGGCTGGTCTTGAACTCACTTTATAGTCCAGGTTGGCCTCGAACTTGCAATGATCCTCCTGCTTCAGCCTCCCAAGTGCTGGGATTGCAGGCATGCACTACCACGCCCAGCTGAGCCATTATTCTTTCAGCAGCTTCCACATACTTTATTTTTGAGACATGGGTCTCGCTATATAGTTCAGCCTGGCCTTGAACTTACTATGTAGTCCAGGTTGGCCTTGAACTCACAGTGATCCTCCTGTTTCAGTCTCCCAAGTACTGGGATTACAGGCATGCACCAGAATACCTGGCCTTCCATATATTTTAATTTATTTTAAATTAGAGTAAGAGCATTTGGATACTTTTTTAAAAACAGCAGCAAAGCCAGGTGCGGTGCACACACAGGTAATCCCAGTACTCAGGAGGCTAAGGCAAGATTGCCACAAGTTGGAGGCCAGCCTGGGTACACAGTGAGTTCAAGGCCAGTCTGGAATACACAGTGAGACCCTGTCTCAAGAAACAACAAGAAAAATCAATCAAACTAGCAGCAAAGAGCAAGTTTTCTGTGTATCCCTCTTCTGACTGATGCCCTCCCAGAGAAATCTTCCCTAAACCCTGGAACTCAGTAGCACAGGGTTTATCAGGCACACACTACTCCTACTAGTTTTCCCTCTAGCATTGCAAGAGTTCACTGTTTCTTCTGTTGAGTCTGATGAAATAGTTGGCTTGCATTTAGGGCCATGTTTTAGAAAAAATAAGCCTGAATATAACCAGAAGTTTTTCTAGAATCACAGAAAATGGCTGAAGGGATTAATTGTTCCCATCTCTTGCTTACTATAAGGCTAAATTTCACTGAGGAACAGTGGGAGTCTTCAGTATTATTTAGTTCTTTTATTTTTTGCCAAACATAGTTAAATCCAAGTAATTTAAACACACTACAAATTTATGTTAAATATACTGGTGATCACATTTACATTTAGTTTTTTCCCCTTTATTGTACAGATTTTAGAAGTTTTTAAGAAATGAAATAACTCAAAAGGGTACGTGATCAGTACTATTAGATGCCAGACATGCATGTTATTCTTACAAACTAACCAAGTAGTTGTTATTTAGTTTTATTTATAAGACTCACCTAAAGAGCTTTAAAAAAAATGAGATGATCAGGGCCCATCCCACGCTACTGAATCATTTTTCTCTGGCTATGGACACTTGGTACCTTTTTTTCCCTTAAAGCTCTATGGATGATGCTGCAAAACCAGGGTTTGTTTTTGTTTTTGTTTTTTGTGGTGCTAGAGATTGAACCCAGGGCCTTGTGCATGTAAGGCAAGAGCTCTACCACTGAGCCATATCCCTAGCCCAAGCACAGCTTTAAGCCATTATCAACTAGTAGCTAAACTGTCAACCAGAATCACTAAGAATAAACTTGACCTATTTGACAATTTTGTCAAGGGACATTTGTCAATGTTTCCTGGTTTCTGAATGCCTCTCAATTTGCTGCCTGTGTATATCCTGATTTTCTGGTTGTGCCCCGGGCCTTGCCTTCAAGCACTTCTAAACTAGAAACCTGATCTCTGATCTCAGGTGCCATCGTAGCCATGGGTTCTGGTTATATGCTTTAGGTTGGCTCTCCAGACTTGGATCTTGGTATCTTTGCATCTAATCATATCTTTCCTATACACCTACACTTATGAACTTTAATGTGACAATTTGCTGGTATTACTGAGTCACAGAAGAAAGAGCTGCTAGGTTTCTATCGGAAAATGGTATCAAATTAGTACGTAAGGTCATTACCGTGTGCTAATATACTTCAATAGGCTAGTTTGGTGCCCTTCAAAAATTGTTTTGTGCTTTGCACTTAGTACCCCAACTGGAACCCTTCAACTTATAGGGGAACACTTTTTCTTAGCTTGGAATAAAGATAAAGGTAGACCTGATCTATCTTTCTGGATCTTATTCTTCATGCAACTGGTGCTTGTTAGCTGAACACTGTTCTTCAGGAAGCCATCAGCGGGGCTGTCTGATATTCCTTTCTTCACTTATCCAATGCCCAAACTTTTGTTTTTTTCACCAGCAGCTTTTTCCTTTAATTATATGCAAATTTTACCTACCAAATCCTAGGCTAATGTACAGGACAAAGAAATTCTTATGATCCTAGAGAACATGTTTTCAGACAGGTTAGGGTCCACAGACTACAGAGAAAGCACTGACAAATCAAAGTTTTATTATACGAAAATTACCCAACTGACTACTTTGAAAGAAAATGCTGCATCTGTTGAAAGTTTGTGTATTGCCATACAACTCAGATTCTTCATATCTACAATTCCACTTGGGGAAATACTATAAAGCCCAAACACACTGACCTTAGAAAATGTTTTATTCATCACCCCAAGGTAACAAAAATATTTTCCCCTGATTCCTTTAGTATCTAATCAATTTCTCCCTTACAGTGGCTATTAATGAACATGTAATATTTTCCTAGAAAACGAAAAGCTCTTTAAAGGCAACGGCCACATTTTATTCTTTTTTTAAATCACCATACTTAGACACAGTTGGTCCATACCAAACATTGTCTGGTCAGTCTTGTAGCCCAAATCAGTAAGATTTTGTTGTCTAAATTTCTTAAAAGTATCACACATTGTCTATGGTCCACACCCACAGAACAACGTGTTTCTCAAACAGTCCTAACGTAAGCTACTAAAGTTTTAGACATTGTCCTAAATATTAGGAAAAGTTCACTTTACAAAACAGATTTTTTAAGGCTGCCACAAAGCACGCCTTGTGTTAATAGGAGCACTTTCAACGATCAGTAGGCAAATTTAATAATTTCAGAGTAAAGAATAAAATCCAGATATGCAGGACTAGTGGGAGAATCGCTATAAATATCCCATCTTTTAAGGGCTTTATGACCCTAATTCAACTTGTGTTTTAGGCAGTGTGTTTTCCAACTAGATCGGAGGAAACTATTTCTCCGACTTGGAGGAACCGACTGACTTCAGTAAAACGCAGTTTCAAGGAGTATTTCCCCTCAGAGTTTTTGTAATGTCCGAAAGGCAGTGCTACAGCGGAACCCACTCTCCGGGGCACCTGGGCAAGCCGAGGTATTTCAGTACAGGAAAACAAGTGGATTATGATTTGCTAAAGTTTCTTTCATCTCTTAAAATTGACACTCTGCTGCCCTAACACCGCCCGAGCACGGCTGCGCTTCCACGCCACACGTGAGTTTCCCTATCTTTCTGGGGTTGGGAGAGGAAAAACAGTCCGCTCCCGTGCCTGGTGGGTCCTCCAGGAGACAGCTCGGGCCCGCCGCGGGGCCAGCCAGGCGCGCCCCTCGTCCCCGCTCCCGCGGAGCCGTGTGTGGCTGGCGGAGGAGGAGATTAGTCCGGTCATAAACAACCTCGCACTTCCCCTCCCCCGCGGCCCGCCCGCGCCGGCCCGGCCCTCCGAGGCCCGGGAACCTCCCCGGCGACCGCGGGGCCCGAGCCTTCCCCGGAAGGTTGACCGCGGATCCGTCCCCGGCTACTAAGCGGGGATGTGTTCACTGCACTCGGCCTTCCTCCCTCGACCACGCCACAGCGACCTCGGACAGGAGCCGAGGGCAACCTCCATTTCCCTTCCCCCGACCCCTATCACCTCCAACAGCCAAGGAGAGGCCGGCGGCCCTGCCGCGCAGGCTCACAGCCACAGCCGCCCAGCGCGCGCCGACGCAGCCCCCGCCCCCACCCCGCGGTCCTTCCGCGGCCGGTACCCACCCCTTCCCGGAGCCCGCCTCCTTGTCTGCCGGCCCCACCGTTCGCCCCTCGTGCTCGCTCGCGCGCGCACCCGACGCCCCGCCTCCGCGCGTGCTCAATAACTGTCCAGGGAGCGGGCCTACCAGCTTCCCCCGCCCCTGAGCTGTTTGAATATGCTAAGTAGAGGGTAGGGAGTACCCAATAGAACAGCGGGGCGGTGCATCACGTGGCGCGGGGACGTGTCAGAGGGCGGAGCTCCTGCAGCCCCTGCCCGAGTTAAAACCGGAGTGTGAGCGAGAAAAGCGCTTCAGTAGCGAGAGGGGCTGAGAAAGTGGTGACACCGCCGGGGTGCGGAGGGAGTCCCTGAAACTTCTCCCAACAGCCCCAGGGCCAATCTCCCCTCAGCCCACTCCCCTCTTCGCCAGCTCCCTGGTCCCCACTCCCTGCATCGGGGGTGGGGTGGGGAGCCAGGCCCGTCTCCCGCGGGGACACACATAGGGGCCGGGAGCGGGGACGGGACCCCCAGGCAGGGGGGACGGACCGACAGACAGACGGCCGGGCGCACGCCCCAGCGGGCAGGCGGGCAGGAGGAGGCGGAGACGGGGGTACGACGGGGAGGACTGGGTCTGGGGAGTTTCCTCTAACTATCGGGGGAGAAACTCCTCGCAGCCGGAGGAAAGACCCAGACGGTGTTTTCCTCCCCGGGACCACGCTCCCCCGCCCCGCGTAGCGGCGGTGGCCGCCACCGGTGCCTCCACCTCTACCATCTCCTTTTTCTCCACCACCTCGGGCCCCGGTGTCCCTGGCCAGCACTATGCCCATCTTACTGTTCCTGATAGACACGTCTGCCTCTATGAACCAGCGCAGCCATCTGGGCACCACCTACCTGGACACGGCCAAAGGCGCGGTAGAGACCTTCATGAAGGTACCGACTGACCGAGCCCGGGCGGCGACCCCGGCCGGCGGCC